TGCAACTTTAAGGGAACTTAAACTTCTACTTATCAGAAAGAGAGACTATTCATTAGTCTGCTAAAACTCAAAGGTGGCTTAATGACCATATGAAATTTTATTTTAAGCTCAATGGATGGCTGTAAGCGCAAGCTCTAAGGGAAAGTTAGAATGAACAAAGTGCTTTGGCTGACAAGCAAAGAAAACATTTGTAGAGTTGGTCATCATCATCCTTAGAGTATTTTCCCAAACTATCTGGGGTTGGCCACATCAATCCTGGTTCGTCATTCTGCTCTATCAAGACTATACCCTCAGTGAGGTCATAAGTCCCAATATCTTTTCGTAATACTTCCAACCATGTCCTTTTGCGTCTACCCCTTGCCCTTTTTTAGCCTTCCACTTGAGTTGGTATAATTCGTCAATTAACTGATTAGATAATATGCTTGAATGCATGCACTATTGAGTCTTAAGAATGTAGATGTAGTTGTTGAATATTAGCTTCTTTGTAATTATCAAGAACAATGTTTGAAAACAAGGATGTGGGCTTGGACATGCCAGGGCCCCAAACCCAAGTCAGACAACAACTCAGCTGAGTCAGAGGTTCTACATGGCTGAGTCTTTGGATAAAAGACATAAGGGGTCCAGGAATCGGTGGGACCTGCCCAAGTTTCAGTCTTTTCATCCAGAGCAGGAACACGGCCAGGTCCAAGTGTTTCGGATGAGTCCGAGAGGAGTCACTGGTTATGTTACCACTGATTAAGAAAGAAGGTTGCCTCTGGTTCAAAAATACAAATGCATTGTGGAGTGGAGGAAGCCAGTGAGATGATCATTGATGGTCTAACATCTATGTTATGAAATGTCCATTAGCGAAGGTTGAACTAATCATAGAGTGGTTTATTGCAAAAAATTCGAAGTCATTAAATATAGCATTGGAAAATAAAATCTTCCAATTCTTTACTTTTACATTTGTAAATCGGTGTGAATTATGGTTGCCTCTCCTTTCAACTGTTGATGCTTTCTGATTATTGGGTTTCTTTTATACAAAATTCCTCTACTATACATGTCCTAAATATTGTTATACCTTGGATAACTGCTGTTTGGATTGTATTTTTCACCTTTGCCTGTTCGAAGATTGCTTTAATATCATCTTGAATCTTACAGGATGCTCTACACCAGTTCAATCAAGAAAGCAAACCATGGGTATATTTTGTCGGAAGCACATCATATGGTCAACAAGATGTCAATTAGGACATAACGGGAGAAGCATTGCGAATACTGCTATGCATGGGAAACACTGCCAACATGAGCGTTGGAATGCCACTTCAGGACATGCATTTGGGTCAGAGCCAGAAATTATTCATTCTAGAAGTGCTTGGGAGTGCATACAAAATGTTTATGATGTTTTTTACCGCTTTACTCGTCCCCACACTATGATGGGCACCGTAAGTTTTGAGACTTGATTTTATGTTCTTGATCAACCATGAAGCTTCACTGTCCTCACCAAGTTGGTCTGATTGTTGAATTCCTCTTCCAATTAGCTAAAGAAAAGTATGCTATAACCCAATGGGCTATGGAAAAGTAGAACTATTATCTGTAAGGGTCTTCGCCATCCAATAAAATGGATAGTGAGCGAGTGGGATCCACCACAACATGGCAAGACCATGTGTGGTTTACACTGCCCATCCCATCTGGTGATTATCCTCAGGGATTCGACAGTCCATTTGGGCATAAATTACAATAGTTTCTCGAGCTTGCAGATTATTAGAGTGTTTTTATATGAAGGATCAATAATGGCTTGTCTAAAATGATTTGTTTGGAGCAGGCGATAGGGATAATATCAGTATCTCTTCTAGCAGTTGAAAGCAGGTCTGATTTGTCGCTACCTTTTTTATCTGGACTCTTGAAGGTAATGCATTAACTAAAATTCTCTAACTGAAATTTGTCTATACCATGAACCAAATATTTCTTCCAGAAATGCAACTTCGTGGATAAATTATGAGGATTTCTTTGCAGGCTCTAGTGCCTGCCCTTTTCATGAATGTTTATATTGTGGGGCTAAATCAACTGTACGATGTAGAAATTGACAAGGTAATCCATGCACTGTACCTCTGCACTATGTGTTGCCTTCATATTTATTTCTTGTTTGCAATTTGTTCTGCCTCTAATTTGTTTGACAGCAACTACTACTAGCTGCTAAATTTTTCATAGCTGTTCGCTTTGAGAAATCATAATAAAGAAGTAACTTTTTTTTTTTTTCAGGTTAACAAGCCAAATCTTCCTCTTGCCTCAGGGGAATATTCTGTGGAGATGAGCATTTTGATTATTGGAGCCTGTGCTTTTATGGTACTAGATTAAGAGACACATTTAGTGATACAATATATGGTCTTGACTCAATTATGTTGATGTCTTAGTGGATTTTGTTTCAATTAATGAAAATTGCTTGAAGTGGCATCCTTTCAAGCATTTGTGTGAATTTTCTGTGGAAAAAGGAACTTTGGACTGGCCATACCAATCTTAGTAATGTTAGCGTACATCATGAATATGAATTAAGAAACAAGTCGGAGACTGGATTAGGATAAATTAACCATATACTCATGGAAAGAAAAAAATCTATCCAAATCAAATTGGCAAGAGATTGCCTTCTCTTTGGGGAAACCATTTAAGTCATATTTTCTTTTTCCATCTCACTCTTAGTAGTGGTGTTATTCTAATACTCGTAAGTAGTCAAAGGCATTAGGTGAGCCTGAGATTCGGAGGAGGCTAGGCATTTGGCATCTTGCATTTTTAATTTTATTATTTTTCAAAAATTGTTTGGGAATTTTGAAAGGTTTTCTCAATTAGCATGGACCACTAAAGCAATTTAATTCCTCAGATCAATAGAATATTGATGCAGATCAGTTTGGTACTTGCTTTGATAGGTAAGAATTACTCACAGATTGAACCAACCAATTTGCCGAAACAGTTGCCTTCCTTTGACAGATTGACTTGCTGTCCAAACAAATCTAATGATCAATTGGGCTTACATGAGGAAATGAGACAAATAAAATATTTATACAAAGTAATGGTGCCACGGATATAACTTTTGAATTAGATGATTTAATGATTTGTTCTGAGTCTATTATATAATGGATGAATTGAGTCTATTGTATGGCAGCAGGTATATGTTATGTCTTTCAGGTCTACAATTTCTCGATATATGCTATTCATATTGTACAATGTCTTTCTCATTATTGACATTATTCACTTTATCTCAACGGATAGTATTTATTCCTAAATAAGTGGAAAATTTTCTTGTGGCCCTTATGCAGAGTTTTGCAATGGGATGGATGGTTGGTTCCTGGCCATTATTTTTGGCCCTTTTCATCAGCTTTCTGCTTGGAACTGCGTATTCAATTGATGTAAGCTTCACCTCTGGCTCATAAATCATGTGTAATATGACAGTTCTCAGAAACATAGCCATTGATATTTTGGTCATATGGTGAGGCAATACACTACTAGTTGCAATTAGTGTTTTTCTTCTTCAATGTTAAGATATCATTGTATGCTGGTCTTAGTAATTATCTTTTAGTACAATTAAGCCCAAGATGAATAAAGACCAAAGTAGCTCTCATAAGCCAAATGAATGAAATATCCCGGCACTCGGAGATATATTTCATATAGACATAGTAATGCAGCCTGTCATTGTGACATTTGAAAACATGATTTTAAATCATGCGAATGTTAGTATGCTATAATGACATGGACTATGGATGCTAGAGTTCATTGGGGTCATTGCCATTTGACAAAATAATGGTTGGTGATATAGATAGCAAGACCCACCATTCAAGTCATGTTGTGTTCTGGTGGTTCCACTCTCTCTTAGAGGTGTCCATCATTTGATTGGATGATTATGGCCCACATGGACTGTGGTTTTCTGGAGTCCATCATTAATAATAAATTTCCATATTGATGTATAATCCCCCGCCACCCCCCCCCCCCCTCTTCCCTTTTACTCTGTCAGGTACCATTTCTGAGATGGAAGAGATTTGCTATGGTTGCGGCCATGTGTATCCTGGCAGTGAGAGCAGTCATTGTGCAGCTTGCATTTTTTCTTCACATGCAGGTTTTTTTTTCATGAGCATATCTTCTTATTTATCTTCTTGTTGTGACGTTATAGAAATTCGTAGCCTTTTTTGGAGATGTTAGCTTTTTGTTACATAATAATTTGGTGTCATAAGTCTCTTATAGCAAATTTCATCTTTATAAGTATCTGAAGTTCTAACCTAATGAATTTCCAGACTTTTGTTTTCGGAAGACCGGCAGTTTTTTCGAGGTCTTTAATATTTGCAACAGCATTCATGAGCTTCTTTTCAGTTGTCATAGCACTGTTTAAGGTAAACTTATTAAACATGCCTTGCCTAATGAGTCTGCAATCTGATATTTTGATGCTTGATCTCTGGTATATGAGGTTGGATGTATATTGATGATGACATAGACAACTATGGAAAATAAAGAATAAGCAAAGGAATGTAAAATATCTATTAATTGAATGGGCTTGGATCAAGATGGTAGAGGCTGGGTTTTCGTAGCACAACATCTCAAGTTCCATTCCTATGTAACCTTGTCAAAAGAAAGAGTAAAAATAACATAGTTGACAAGGAATCAAAAGAAAAAGCAAAATTCATGAACTTAAAAGACTTTTAAAGAAGGAAAAGAAACTAAAGATCCATGAACAAACAAAAACTGTTGAAATGAAAGTGAAAACTGAAAATAAAGTAAAAGATAGGAAATATTGAACTCTACTTAAGGAGGTAATATAAATAGATTAAGAAGCAAAAACTGGCAAAGGAGAAAATTAATGAAAATCGACCATAAAAAATGAATATCGAATGGCCCATTTAACCATTTGTTTCATTGAATCAATCTGATCAGGATATACCTGATATTGATGGGGATCGGATATTTGGCATTAAATCCTTCAGTGTACGTCTAGGTCAAAAACGGGTAAGTGCATAGTACATGCATTCTTATCACTTTGTGAGATATATATTTTACCATTCTCTTGACCTATACTAAGATTTATTGGCTGTAATTTCCATGGAGCAGGTTTTTTGGATGTGTATATATCTATTGCTGATGGCATATGGTACTGCCATAGTGCTAGGAGCCACGTCTTCTTGCACTTGGAGCAAACTTGTGACCGTACGTCTTTACAACTTGCCTTTATTAGTAATTGAATTTATCTAACGAACGGAGGCTTGCATTTTTTACTTGAGCCTAAGGAGCACAATTTTCTATTTATTTAGTTGTTTTCTATCATTTCTTTCCTTTTTTTGGATGCCTTTATTTTTTTTGGAATTTGTGAACATGGGTGGACATTGAATATGTTGTTTACCGGCACCAGTCTTCTTATCTTATTTATTGGTGACTTTAACCATTTTTCTCCTTTTTCAGACATGGAATATGTTGCTTGGTTACACTATATTCTACCTGTCTTATTTATTGGTGTGAACCATTTTTCTCTTTTTGTTGGACATCCATGTTGTTCATGCTTATACTTTGTCACAGGTGTTGGGTCATGGTGCCCTAGCATCAACTCTTTGGCATCGGGCCCAATCTATCGATTTCAACACTAAAGTCTCCATTGCATCATTTTACATGTTCATTTGGAAGGTAAAACTTTAATGTATTTGCAATTTGTTTTGTATTGGTTTTTAGACATCTTAAATGAAAACATGCGTGTTTTTTTCATCATTGCAGCTCTTTTATGCGGAATACTTGTTAATCCCACTTGTGAGATGATTGTGGAGGATGCTGGTTGAAAAATGAATTCCAACATTGTTTGTAGTTTTTGTACATATAATATTGTTTGTAGTTTGTTAATATGGAACTCTTTGTGGAGCTTGAATCAGTAGCTTGGAACATGGCATTCTAGGTCATGTTGGCCCTAGCATTATTGAGTTTTGAGTTAGTAGTGTCTAACCAGTATCTTGATGCCCATTAATGGAGATTTTTTTTCTGGAGTGTTTTGTATCACAAGGGAGTAAAAAGCCTGGCCTTGCCCCTAAGCACTAGGTTACACTTGTCATCTCTTCCTTATTATGGATTCCAATTACCATAAGACAATCACTTTAATAATCTAAATGGAAAGATTAGATAGATATTTTTTTATTTTAAAACCTTAAATTTGAATTCACAAGAGAACATCAATAAAAAGGACAAAGCATATATAAGGTTGATACCTTAAAGTGTAGAGCATATATAAGGTTGATACCTTAGTGTAGAATTAAGGTGCACCTCTAAAATCCTACGAAAGAAGTTATTTTGATGTTGAAGAAACATCAAATTGATCATCTCGACATTGTGAGGTATCTATATGCAAAAAAAAACTGGAGATTTTAAGTCCAAAAAATAGTACATCATGCAACACATTATCTAGATCGTCTATTTTCAAAATTTCCATGCATTTATATATCTGTTTGATTTGAACCATTTTTTGAGTTTAAAAATTTTATAATTAGAGATAAATATAGATTCTCGCACCATCCTAAGAATTTTCAATACAAAAATTGTTTCTCATCACAAAGTTTGGAGGTGCAACTTATTGTGATCAAGTTTGCAACCTTATGCAAAGTACATCATTGTAAAAACTATAAAATATGAAAATCAAAATGCAGTACTCCAAAATATTCAATATTTCCCTTCGTTCCTTCTTGTGAATCCTCTTTTTCTACTTATTTCCTCAATAAAACCACCATTTGATCTCTTGTTTTCTACTTAGTTTTCCTCTATATATTCATTCAAATGCTACACCGCTTACTACTTGTCATCTAACTCTAACGTGGCAGGAACAATGAGTAATGACATACAGTGATGGGTGATGGCCAAAATGAGTGAGTGAATTTATAATTCATGATGATCCCTCTAAACAAAGCACATTTTTATCACCAAACATCTATGGTATTAGGAAGACTTCAGTCGCGAAGCTTATTCCGAATCTCTCTTGCATTAAGAACTCATTGGTCACGAAGCTTATTCCGAAGATGTTTTTTATTTGCATTCCTGACTTTTTGAAAGAGTTATGTTTCTACCAGTGCTCAAAAAATCGAACCGGCTTCGGAAACCGGCCAAGGGCTGCTCTCGAGTAACTAGTAAATGGGCATGTTATACTGGCTTAATTGGGCAAGTTCTTGCCGGTCAAAAAAGTGTTCAATTTTTTTAAAAAAAATATGAAAAAAATATTTAAAATATGATTAAACAAAGCACATCCAAATGAAATTGAAAATTAGTAAAAAAAATAGAATTTTGAAAATCAATTTGTGCCCAGGGGTGTTTTTGAATTTTTTCAAAAATATGGGAAAAATGTAAAAATAAATATTCATGGCCAAACACTTTCCAACCATCATCAAAATGGAAAAAAAAAAAAACATTTCAAAACACATTACAAACGAATCTTTTATTTTATAAGGAGTTTATATAAATTTTTTTGATGTTTTTTTTAAATATCTGGTCGGATACACCCAATCACAGAACCGATCTAACCGACCAGTTCGCAGTTGAACCGCGCGATATTGCAATCACTGTTTTCTAGCAGAAGCATGACTGTTTTGCTAATAGTTGAGGCACACCGAATCTTCTTATTTGTCTAGTTACTCAGCGTTGGAATCCAGCCTCTAAATTTTAGAAAAAAATATTGCGGCCTGCTATTAGTCATGTATTTTTCCGTTTCCAAGGGTAGGATCGGCATCTCAAATTCATGCTTGTCTAGGGTGAACTTCCCAACAGCTACTTCACCAAAAAAAAAAAAAAATCCTAATATCATTATAATTGTGTAATGCCCTGCGGCATAGAAGATCTATGCTTCTCTTACCATCCAGCCATCCAATTTTGTTCAAGCGAGCCACTCACCATTTGATTTTAGATCTGACGCTTCGTGGTATTTTATTTTTAATTTTTTATACAAATTGTATGAATATGAAATTTGTTACGTGCCATCTGCTCATTGGGGTGCACATACAAAAACTTATTTTTTGATAAAATATAATAATCAAAATACCCTTTCAAATTTTCAAGAGTATTTTGGTCATTTTAATTTATTGAGATTTTTTTATATTTTTTACATATACGTGTTTAATAGAGGATGGGACACCCAAGATTTGGTATCAAAATATTTTATAGAAAAAATTTAAAAATAAAATAGTGTAGAGACGTGACATTGTGATTAGGGTCATCTGAGCTCCTCCATTTGGAATGGACAAATATAGAGAAGTATATAAGTTTTATGTTGTAGGAAAAGCATAAAAAGCTTGCTCTTTCTATAAAATAGAAATCTATCGAATTCCATCTAATATTTGAAATATTTAACCACACTTCTTTATAGAATTTTAGTAGCTCAACATTTATTTGATCAAATTTCAAATAACCCATCAAATGATATATCAAAATGAGTTTTGAAATTTATTAAATTACCCCTTGTTAAATTGCTAAACTTTCATGCATATTTTGACATACTTTTTTTTTTGACAAATGTTCAAACTTTTATTGATCTCTAGAAACCAATTACAATATCAAAAATAACCAAAGCCACCCCCGTGTCCCCCTTTGCTAATACATCAGCTAAAGAATTAGCTTCACGATAAACATGAGAAAAAGAAACCATGAGAGAGAGAGAGATATCCATAACCCCATGCCAAAGTGAACGCAGCTCCCAAGGCACCCGCAGCTCCCTATTGCACCACTTTACTACATTCAAGGTGTCGCCTTCGATCTAACAGAATATCCACAATTCATCTCCTTGAAAATCTTCAACCCATGGTACACTGCATTAGTTCAGTCTTATTAGCAGTAGCACAACCAATGGGACCAGTAAAAGAAAAAATAATATTACCTCCTCTATTTCTGAGCACCCCACCAATTACCATCAAAGTTAAGCTTCAAAGTACCTGCAAGCGGTGGTGCCCAAAATGATTTGGGATGACAACTCCTACCTCTAAGCAAAAAGAGATTGCTGAGATTTGAAAAAACATCAATCTTAGTCACTCCTCCCTTCCTTAATGGCTAAAAACCATGACCAAATCATCGATTTAATTACATAAATTAAGCCATTCAAAGAAAGGGAGACATCCTCAAATATTCTTCTATTTCTTTCCTTCCAAACTTCCCATAGAATAATTCCATAAAGTTATAGCGCCTTTTAGCAAAAGAGGGACCGACAGTTGAGATACGATCCCGTCCACCTCCGATGGAAGAGTCAAACACATGTTTACCAACCCAAAAAACCAATACTAAATTTGACTAGTAAAAGGACAATGGATCAGCAAATTACCAACTGACTCACCATCTGCTTTGCATAGAAGGCATACATTGGGGAGAATCTTACTTCTTTTGATTAGATTATCGGTTGTTAAGATTTTGTTCATTGAGGCTAACCAAATAAAAACCTGAACCTAGCCCATTTCCATATTTTGGTTATTTGGGGACACGACCACGGCCATCGATCATTAAAAAGGAGGTCGTAATACGACTTTACAGTGAAGAGACCATCACTTTCCAACACCCAGACCATCTCATCTACAGCCTCTGGAGAGACATAGACCTCATTAAGCAATTTCATCAAAGTACACCACTTCTCAAACCGCAAATCATTAACTCTGTTATAAATCAAAGGAATAATCCAAAACTAAGTAGCTCCTCTTCTCTCGATCACACACAGACCTTAACGTCTTGCATTATAACCACGTCAAATAACTCCGAGCAGATAGATTTAAGAGGGTATTCCGCAGCCCAAATCTGATGCCAAAAAGAAATTGAGGCTCCACTTCCAAACGACCATCTACAGAAACTGGCAACAATTAGTCTACAACTAGCAATGTTCCTCCAGAGATGCGAAGTTTTTCCATGTTCCCTTTTCCCTAGCTAAAGACCCAACCAATCAATACCATATTTCGGAATGAGAACCTGATACCAGAGTTGATCTCTAAAGTGAATACTGCGCCACCACCATTTGCACAACAGTTCTTGATTGACCAAATTGATTTTCCTAATGCCCAAACCTCCATCATTTTTTGGTGTGCACACCCTATCCCACCTTAGCAAATGAAACTTATGCTGCTCATTGCTAGATCCCCACAAAAAGTCTCTCATCATCTTCGCAATCTTTTGAACTATTACTGCCGGCATTTGGATAAGAGACATCTGATAAATAGGGAGGTTGGCAAGACAAGCTTTTAAAATAGTCATCCTACCACCCAACAAGAGATACTTTGGTTTCCATAAATCCAACTTAGCTTGCACTCTCTCCAATACCCTATCCCAGACTACAATTGGAAACCTAAAGTCAGAAATCGGTATGCCCAAATATAGAATGGGGAGAGAATCCACGTTGCAATCTAACACCCTTGCCAAATCATCCACCACTGAACCACTACAATTAATCCCTACAATCGATGACATATGAAAATTCACTTTAAACCCGATAGAGACCTCACAGATATCCAAAAACAACGTCACCTTCTCCACTTGTAAATGATCTGCATCGTAGAAAATAAGGTGTAATAATCCTAAAATTTCAAAAAAAAAAAAAAAAAAACTTTTAAATAAGTGATGGTTCGTATGAGCATGATGGTCCTTAGGGACCATCACTACTTTCAAAAGCTTTTACCTGGTTTAAGCTTTTGCTTGCTGCCTTGCCACGTCCTTTAGTGGACGTGGTTTTCATATGATAAAAGCGGACTTTTAACACGATACCTCATACTTTTGCTTGCTGCCTTGCCACGTCCTTTAGTGGACGTGGTTTTCATATGATAAAAGCAGACTTTTAACGCGATACCTCATACATGAGGAGGTGTTTAAAAGAAATTAAATAAGACGATAGGTAAGACGTCGCCTAAAAACTTCTTTCTCGCTCTTCCTCTTACAAACACAGTGAGCTCCTCTCTCTAGTCGAATTTTTATCGGAAGCTCCCTCTCAAATATTTTAGGTAAGTGACTTCATTATCTTGAAAAATAATCTGTTCTTTTTAAAAATGAAATGAAAT